GTTGAATTTGTTGTCGTTGAATCAAAGTTGAATCAACGTTGAAATGCCAACGTTGAATTTGTTGTCGTTGAATCAAAGTTGAATCAACGTTGAAATGCCAACGTTGAATTTGTTGTCGTTGAATCAACGTTGAATCAACGTTGAAATGACAACGTTGAATTTGTTGACGTTGAATCAACGTTGAATCAACTTTGAAATGCCAACGTTGAATTTGTTGTGGTTGAATCAACGTTGAATCAACGTTGAAATGCCAACGTTGAATTATGGTCGTTGAATCAACGTTGATTCAACGTTGATCAATGTCTCAACATAAATTCAACGTTGATTCAACGTTGAATCAACGTTGTGTGCCTGCTGGGAAGCATGTGTTCCTTTTGCAAACATAACATTTAAAGCAAACATGGATTTCCCAGTCTTGCACATGAAACAGAAAATACTGTTCAAATATAATTTTCATGGTAATTATCTAAGATGCCATTCCCATACCTAGATCAATCAAAAAGAATCGACCCATCTCCAAACGGTTTCCTGCTAAAATGCTCTCAGCTTAAGTAGCTCTGATGTCCGGCACGTTCACTGAAGCTTTTAGGGGGTAATGAACTATTGTTTAGCAGCTTCAGTAGCCGTGCAAGACATGCATCTAAGCCACTTAAGCTGAATGTAATCAAGGACGTATATTCAATATACTCAGTAGGTCATTGATGTAATTTAGCGAAAATCCCCTTGGAGATGGGTCAATCCTGCTAGATCAATCTAGGTATGGGAATGGGGTCTAAATTACACTATGTTAAACTGCATGGTGCCACTGTGTTGAGTTTTGTGACATTAGTTTGACTTCAAATGCATCTTGGAATTTATGTGTACATGTACACATGTATACTGTACATACATATCCCCATACAGTAGATGAATATATACAGATATGAACAAATGAAAAATTCATTCATCAAGTGCATGACAGTTTTGGGTAGTTTTAAAGGCTGCCCCTGAATATATACCAGCACAGAGATAGTAATGAGTACTTTTCTACAGCTTTTTACACGGACATGAACAAGTAGTATATGTGTTGTATATAGCTACTACTACATTTGTGAGAAGTGTAGTACGTACTTGTAATTCGTCTTTAAGTGTCCAGGGGTGAAAATAAGTACAGAGCTATTTTTCGCGGTAACAATTTCCAATTTTCTTTTGTGCGAATAAGCACACTGATACACAAATTGATTCGTGAGGTTCAGCTGTACAATGTAGATGACAGATACCTGCAAGATCATAAAACTTTTCCGTCTTCAACAGGGAGGCGACAATCCAGCAAGACCATTGAATTCCGAAGTCGATAGCCGCACTTTTACCCAGTGTGTTCCCCATCTTGACCTCAGCCTAGCTGCCTGTCTCAACTTTAGGGGAACAATGTGACATAGTTACGTTATCGTCGGGCACCTGTTTATCACAGCGTATGAAGTGAGTTTACCAACATTCAGAGGTCAAGGACAACCGGAAGTTGAAGTTACTGATATTAAAATTGCGTTAGTGGACAACTTATGACTTCTATGATGAGAAATAGTGATTTAGATTTAATTACAAAAACAAAATTTGCATAATGATTCCAATCAATATGATAAATATTTGCAAAAAGGAAAGGAATTAATCTACTTTATAATCTTTATTTCTCTCACTTTATGTCAAGTACGACTCCGTGGCGCAACGGTAGCGCGTCTGACTCCAGATCAGAAGGTTGCGTGTTCAAATCACGTCGGGGTCAAAGCTAACTTTTTCCACTTACACATTACCCTTTTTTTCGGACATTTCAGTTAGATGTTACCTCATTATAGCAGAAACATACAGCAAACGCAGAAGAATTCACAATATTTATAAATTTTTATTATTTTAAAGTCAATGCAACATGCATATATATGCATTTCTAAACAAAAATGCCCTATTTCACCCAAGACTGTACTATAATAAATTTAGACAAAAGGCATAGGCAGAAGTGGATGGGGGTGGGAATCTCATGTGAAATAATGGGGGTGGGAGGTGGGGGAAAAATGTGTAAAATCTCATGGGACATCCCCATACCCCACTATACCAAATCAACTTTAAATCAGTGCATTTTTTTTTGAAGTGCATGAAATGAAAAGTACTCGTTGGCCTCAATGTGCAATTGTTCTGTATACATTGTGCATGTATGTGTACATTTTTACCATTTTCCAACCTTTTTTTGAAAGGATGAAATCTAATCTGCCATATTTGTCAAAAAAGAGAGAGGAACACAGCCCGTGTCCTCCATCCAGGATCTAACTAGTTTAACCCATAACTTGTGTAGCAATAACACATTTTAACAAGCTGCCAAAGGGAAAAAAAGATTTTAATGTAATTGAAAAAATAAAAGGAATTGGCAAAAGTATAACATATAGAAAGAAAACATTTAAAGAGGCATGAAAAATCAAAATTGATGCTCATAATTGACGGTCATCTAAAGAACTTTGATACTGTAGCATACTTTTGAAAAAAAAAAAAAATCATAGTTCCAGATTAACATGAATGTTCATTAGGGTGTCCGTGTTAAAACTTTGTTCTCATATATTTATCTTAAAGTGAACAAGTACATTAGTACCATGCAGTAACATTTCCCTGGGTTTACCTTCTGTATTTAAGGCACTAGAAGGGTAATCCATGAAGTTTTATTTCAATCTGTGGCTAAGCACTTTTCAATCTCTGACTAAGTAATGGACCATCTTTATTACATATTTATTTTTCAATATGTACCAGTATATACATTTTCATAGGTAACTCTCCCATTGGTTTAAAATTGTAATATATCTGATTTATATGGGCCTTAATGTGCCACAGTATCAAGCCACCTGGTAATTCATAAGAAGCGGGTATTTTAAGCTATAAATCATACTTTAATAACAATAAATATTATTGAAGCACATAATGTCAACACCAGACTTCACGCAGAAGACCTTGTTTGCTTATACCAGTATATATGCCCCTATGTAGATCTAGCTTGCATGATCAGCTGTAACTTAGAAGCACTTGCAGTATTCTCCAGTTGAAGTAAACACCTACATGCTACAGAACATAAGGTTGACACTAATGACAAAATAATATTTTATATTTTGGTCCACACAGATATGTCACAGTAGGCCAACTCATCTCAAATTTATACTCCAAATATCATATTAATCATAAGTGGAAAAAAGGTATAATTTCTGGTTATTCATAAGCAGCAGGTATTCAGAGCTACAAGTTATATTATAATATTAATAAATAATTTTCAAAGTGAATAATGTTAAATTAAAAACCAGACTTCACACAAAAGAAGTTGTTTGCTTTTATATATATATATATATATATATATATATATATATATATATATATATATATATATATAACCAGCTTGCTTGCACATTAACGACAAAATAATGTATAATATTATGGTCCACCTGTTACCAAACAATTATAGCATAGTAGGCAAACCCATCTCCAATTCTCACTAAAAATATCATGATATGCCAATAAAAAAGGTATAATTTCTGGATCTAGGATTGATTTCAATTGAAACAGTCACACTCACACAAGAATAAATAATAGATTTATAATAAATCATAATCATTTACCAAGTCCAATATATACTTTCTTGCCAATAAAACCAACAAAATTTTTGGACAGCTTTACCATTTAAAAATTATCTCAAAATATCAATGATTAGGGGGTGTGCCAAAAATGTGCAATACACTACAATACTGCACACAAAAATATGCACCATTTGGCATTATTTATCATCAGGTCATCTGCCATATTGTCAAAAATAGCCACTTGCTAACATGGCATGCGGCCCAACGATAATCAAGTCATGCCAATATGTTAGGTTTTATCAAAAATATTAATTACCTACCAATTAATTCTTTTATATCACCCTATTTTGTTGGGAAAGAATGTTTCCTGTGTTAACTTGTGACTGGACTCCTTTTTTTCTAGTGTATTGTACCGTGTTTCATTGTATTGCAGTGCATTTCTCATTTCAGGCACACCAACCAGGTCATCTTTCAGATATTTTCTGCCAGCATACATACTAGTATTGTCTCATACATCTATACATCCTATCCCGATACTCTGTTTTGGAGTGTATTTGAAGTAATTAGACAGATAAAACCTGAGATAACTGTTGTCTATCAAACACATTTTTTTCTGGGATACAGAGTTAAAAAACAAAACAATTAGATATTAAGTGCACACTTGTTACCCACCAGGACCTGATAAAATGGTCTACATGTTTTGGCTCATGTTATTCAAGATATTTAAATACCCAGAGTACACTCATAAAAAAACTGCCAGGTTCTGATAGAATGGTCTATATACATCTGCATGCTGTGACTTCTGCCTTTTTAGATTTGATTTTGGTACAAATATCAAGATGTTCTAGCAGCAAAAAGATTCAATCAGACAGAAAAATCTAGCAGGGGCCGATTCTGGGGCTTCTAGATAAACGGCTCTGTTTGACACCCCATGTCCATTGCTGCAAAATCTCCATAATTTGGTTTTAATAAATTGGGATTTGTTTTTATAAGAAAGTAGAAAAATAAATAAACAAACAATATTTTATACTTAAAACCTTATTCAGGGAAGATTCAAACTACAAGTAATTCCTAAACCCTCTCTGAATTCATCCCTTTTGACTGAAAACATTATTTCTGGCAATAATAGTTCTAATCTCAAAAGAGTTCCCATCAGAATAAATTCCACACTACTTTCAATGTGATCCTACATTGAGCGAGTGGATAATTTTATATGTGTTCACTTTTTACTCAGATTGAGGGATTCAAACCAATCTTTAGCAGTGACAACAATTTTCCCATCGCGTGCTTCTGACTTGACACTGCCTTTTCCACTGGAGTTCATCTTGCCTACAAAATGAAAATGTCTTCATTTGAGTAACAGATGTATTGTATTCCCAATTTCAAATAAGTTAATGTCTGTTTTATAGTTTTACATATGTATAAAGTGTTCACCCCATAAAAAATGTGGGGCGTCATATATTGTGCTTCTGTTAAAATAAGTAACTACAAAACATTATTTACCAATTATGCTATTTCATTCCTTATTATTATAGTATCACCAACTCAAGTAGTGAGGTTTTGACAAATGCTAAGAAATACTGGGAACAAAAAAAGATCAGTGGGGCAAATGAAGAACAATTTTAAAAATAATTTTGAATAATATCACAACAGTGACTTCTATGCCTACCTGTAAATTTTGTCAGATTTCCTTCCTTTTTTTCCTCCACGTTCTCCACAGAGAGTGCCTTATCCACCTCCACCTGACTCCCCAACAACTCTAGACTGGTGTTAGCACTGACAGGAAGGTCTAAAGAGATGTCACCTGTAATACAGAAAATGGTATAAGATATATATAATCTCCCTTCTTATAAATTTGGCTGGAATAGTATAATTTTGGTTGTACCGGGTATGTTCAATATCACAATCTTGTGAATGGGTGACGGAATGGGGTTGCGGAATATTGCAGGATTAGAGCCCAGAGTTATATATCTTCCCTAAGTCCAGCCATTTTTTGTTTTCTCAGCTCTAGATCTGTAGCTAGGGTATGTTATTCCCAAAAGCCATAGTTGCCTCCTCTCTCGTGTCCAAATACTGGTAGTGCCTCAAATCAAGGAAGAATTTTCTACTGGTGTTTATGAGTTCCCATGTGGCTAAATAGTCCTATTCTTGATTTGCACACTGACCACAAAGGCGGGACAGCAAGGTATTGTGAAACACTCAGGACATGTCCAAACAGTGGTAAACAACTAGGCAACAACCTGTGTATTCACTACATGTACCTACATATTTGTACCTTTTTTGATCACAAAACAGAAATTTCTTTGTTACAAGTATATGATTACTGACTGGAACTTTAAATGACTTTCCCACTAAATAACATAACAGTTACCTTTGCCTGTCCTTACTGTTACCTCTTCATGTCTGGTGATGTGGGCAGCAAGATTACCTTCTTTCATAAGGGCATTCAAGCTGCCATCCAGAGAATCTGGAACAGGGATAGGTTGCACTGACTGTGTGTATATTGATATGTCTGGTAATACTAAAACTTTAAAACTTTTATCGATGTTCATTCATTTTTATTTTTACAAAAATTAAAACAAAATGAAAACTTGTGATTAAGCTTTGTTAACATGGGAATGACTGCATACTTTTTTTTATCAGGTTATTAGTGAAAATGTAAACAAATCAAGGTGCAAGGCATGTTGTTTGTATGCCGTAACACACACAGGGCACTAGAAAAATACTTACCAATTTTAACATCTCCCTTATTGTGTACGTCTACTACAGTGCTTCCATGTACACTGCCAAGATAGATGGCGCCACTTTGCGACCAGAAGTTGGCATCGTCTGCATAGACTGATTTGACCTGGATGGTGCCATCCTGCGTTTTACACTGAACATGTTGACCCTGAAGTTTGTCTGCTTTGATGGCCTAAGATAATTTTTAGAAAAAAAGGAAATTTTTCAGTAACAAAGAGGAGAAATAGTTAAATGGCTCCTAGTTTTTTTAAAAAATTTGCAATGCTTTGCTAAAATAAAGGTGACTTACAAGAGAAAGTTAAATATTGAAAATACCATGAAAAATTGATATGCAAGATCTTAAAGGACAATGTTCATGTAAAAATCCATTTCTAAAACCCTTTAATTATACAGCAATAGAATAATAACATGCTTATCAAATGAAGTAGCCAAAACTTGTGCCAGCACTCTGCATTAGTGTACAAATTTAATGTTTCTCAAGATGTAAGGCATATCAAAACACACATGAACATGGAAAAAAGTGCTCTTACCCCTCCATTCCCTGTCTTGAGCTCTATGTTGCCCTGAAGTGAAGACACACATTTGATGTTCCCAGTCCAGCTATGTGCATGAACTGTTCCACACTGGAAGAAATTGAAAAATATTATTCAGAAGTTCACACATAATGTACTGACACAGCCACAGCTTTTTTGAACATGAACTTAAAATAATAATGTGGTGAAAAAAGTATTTATTTAATATTTACCATCATTTTAACATTAAGTCCATGAAATATAGACACTGGAAGAAAATGCTAAACAACTTTCAAATGTTTAGGAAATTTTTTTGAATTTCACACATAAATATAAAATGTCACAATGCACACATGCAGCTTTATTCTCACTTTTAAATTTTTGAGTAAGGTGTCTCCATTCTGTGTGTTTATGTGAACCTGGTGACATTCCATGTCTTCTACATCTGCATTTCCTTCCTCCTGAACGTGGAGACTCACACCTAAAAATGGCAACAGATTATTGTACTTTTCAAAATTATAATTTAACTTTCTTTTTAGAATGAATGCAATGCATCTCCAGCCAGTTGGTATGACTGCCTGATTATGACTCTAATTTCGATAACCATCATGATTTTAAATGCTTTAGTAATGGAAGTAAAAATAGTATATTGGAAGGGACTGTGGGATTAGATTGGCTTTTTGTGCTACGAAATTATAACCTCAATGTCTGGTAAGATAAAAACTAATTTATGTAAAACCATCTCAAATAATAATGCATCTGGAGTTTAAGAGTATTCACAGTGACTTAATTATGTTAACCAAGCATGTCTTTTATTCTATCACAGCAGCAATATTAATGCTAGCTGGTTACACATGTATGAGTACATAAAAGTTAACAATTACCCCTGAACCTCACATGGTACATATATATTCACTCAAACATTGCTGGAAGGCTACCTTATAAGCCTTGGAGTACATGTGGTGCCAGTAACTCAAAGAGACTGTTCCCAGACCCCATTGCAATACTTTGGATCCCTGAGGGGACTCTCGCTTAATTGCACTTGACTTGGGTGGCTTAGACCCCATTCCCATAGATCTTAGATCGACCTATCCCTGTGGGGAGTCTCACTAGATTACTGTCAGCTTAGCCGGCTTAAGCATCTGTCCTGCCTACTATAAGCTGTTAGGGGGTAATTAACTATGGTGCGTGCTTGGCTGATTGCAATTTAGCGTGAACCCCCAGGGAGTTAGGTCGATTTAAATCTAAATCTCTGGATCGATCTAAATCTCTAGGAATGCACCCTTAGATATCTGCCACTCCTGCTGAGGCTGATAGGGGTAATTAACTATTGTTAAGAAGCTTTAGTGGATGTCCCAGACGTCTAAGCCGCTTGGGCTGAAAGCAATTTAGCGAGAGACCCCACGGAGATGGACTGATCCTGTTAGATCTATATAGGGATGGGAGTTCAGTCAAACATTGCTCCCTGATGGTATATGTAAGTATAGGTAAATGAAAACATTTAATTTTCGTATCTACATCACATAAAGAAAATTTTTTAACTAACCAAATTTTACAGGAACCTGTATGAGACACTCTAGTGGGATATTCTTGTGTTGAAATGCCTTGTGACCGTCCTCCGTTATCATGCCATTGAAGAGAAGTTCCTTTTCGTGATCTCGAACTTCCACGTGGCATTTAAAGAACTGATTCCATTGGATGACATCAATCATGGCATGCCCCTTCTCTGTGTCTGCGTACAGGGCCAGGAATGCCTTGTCTTGAAATGGAAACTCTTCTGCATTGACAGGAACAACCTAGCGGAAAAATGGTAAAAGTTCTATGGAATAGTTCATTTTTGATAAATAAAAAATGTCTTCATCAGGAGAGTAAATAAATATAATCTTAACTTACTAGGACAAATTAATTCATTTACATTTTTTTCGTGCTTTATGGATTTGCAAATAAATGTACAGGGTCAAGTGGGTAGATTTCAGTAGTTTAAACATAAATGTTCCCAACTAGACGATGCTTAGTATTTGTTGAAAACAATTTATACAAGTGATACTCTTCTCTAAACAGATCACACCTCAACCCCCACTGAAGTAAATGACAAAAAATCAATACCATTTGTAAATACAATGCATCAACAATTAATTAAGAGGATTTATTTTTTAAAAAGTTCACACTCCCCCCCCCCCAAAAAAAAAAAAAAATAAATAAAAAACCAATTTAAACACTGAGTGTTTGTCTGAAGCTTGCTAAAATTTAATTGTGACCAGAAAGCTTGGGTGCATGTCTGAGCAGAATCTACCTGTATTGGTACAGGGATCAATGGGCTCAATGCACCCTGTAGTTCATACCTTTACATTAAAAGGCACATTGATGATCAGTCTACCAAAAGGATGCACATCATGGCTCCATGATTCCAGGGTGTGCATCTTGTAGAACTTTTCAGGGACAAATGTGGAGTACCAACATGCTCCTTAAATAATGCAGAAAACACATTTAAAGCAATCAAAAAGCACATATATAATACTAGTACTCCCACTGCGAGTCTGATTCATTTCATTCAGTCATAATACATGCGCACTTTTAGTCTACATGTATTGACACTACCTGTAAACAACTCTAAGGAGAGAAATTAAATAAATAAATAAATAAATAAATAAATAAATAGCAAGGAAAAAAAAATTGAAAAAACTATGGGAATTTAAGACCTAAAGATGGATAAAAATGTACTGACCCCCCCCCCTCCTGTTTACATCCACCACCACTACAAGGCTTAACATAATGATGCCCCACTTTTTGGGAGAACTCCAAACATTTCTGGCTGCAAATACATGTACCAGTACATAAATCAGAAGTCTGAATAAAATCTGCCTCAACAAAACATCTTACTAATTTCCCTTATTATAGTCTACCAGTAGGATATGAAACATATGGGTCCAAAATACAGTTCAGACAGTCACAGGTCAGGTGCTGGAATTACACTGGACTTTCTTGTACAGAAACATATGCTTTGAAGAAAGCTAAGTTATGTATATTAAATACAGTTAGGACAGGTTACAATTACTGGTACGTACACTGTACTCAGTACATCTGGCCTATGAGCATACTAGTACTACAGAGCATACTAGTACTGGTAGCATGGAAATTAATACAGGTAGTAAATGTGTTAGCACTCCTATTTACTTTTTTTATATGCACTGTACGTGCTAGTGAATATCAAACACATAATGAATAACCCCTTATATGTAAATGCATGTACCAGTGTGCTGAATTTTCGTGCTAGTGCTACACTGTGTACAGTACAGTACCAGTACATATACCCAGTATGTATCATTGTATGTGCCATGGGCACCGATCATCTGGACATTTATATAAATAAAATAACTATGCACTCAACATAGAATCACATCTAAATAGCAGAGTAGGCAGAATTAAGATTAATGCAAAAACCAGAAAGTTCAAAACGAAAATAAATGCTGCAGTTAAGAGAAAAACACTTGCCAAGATGTTTTGGACCCCACGTANCTATAAAATAGATTAAAATGACATGAGTTTAGCAAAGTGAAAGAGGAAATTGGAAAAAGATTCTGGGCCGAGGAATACAACCTGAGTCATACAGCAGATATAGCCAACACACAAAGGAATTCTTGGAACAAAGAAGTTGACAAGAGGAAAATCTCACAAGTAGATCCTTAGATACTTACCTCGCAGTGGTATATGTTTGTCCTCCATAGAAGTAAGTGCCTTCATTTTTTTTGTCTACATTTCTTCTCGTATGCTTTAGGCTGTGGACTAGTACAACTGAAAAAGATAATCAAGATTTTCTCACAAGACTAGCAAAGTGAAAGTGGAAGTGGTAGCAACCCAGCAGGCATAGTTGCGTTGGATCAACGTTGAAAACAGGTTGATACGTTGAATTGCCGTTGATCTACCTAAATTCAAAGTTAAATCAACGTTGATCCAGCCACGTTGACTCAACGTTGTATTTTGGTCAATGACACAACCTTGCAGTTATGGATTGTAATTTAAAATATTAATTATTGAAAACGTGATACTTTGTTTATCAATACTGTAACTAAATTTATCAAAATAATAACAAAATGGTTTTAAAGTAAAAGTGACAGTTGTTTTGTGTCTTGAGTTAACTAGTGAATTTTCTTAACTTGTTATTCAGAAATACATTCCAATAAACTGAATTCCTTGCAAGGTCAGCTAACAATAGGATGAATAAGTTGCTGTAAATGTGTTAGAATTAACAGTTCTTGGTAACCTGTTATAGATAGACAGCTTGAGGTGACTGTGACCTTGTTTTATATATAAAAGATCTATATATGCTAATCTAAAGCTTGGAAATTTTAACTTAAAGGCCATACATTTATACCCTACATAGCCATCAGAAGTGTCCTACTACTAAACACATCCAGGCTTTTCTTTTGATACAACGTTGTTATCTGAGGTTGACACAACTTTCAAATCCAACGTTTATTCAATGTCTACTCAACGTTATGGTTCAACGTTGTTTCAACGTTAAAACAACATAATTTGCCCACTGGGAAATTACTGATTATAGTGAAAAAAAAACTATAAAATAGATTTAAAATGGGATGAGTTTAGCAAAGTGAAAGAGGAAACAAAATACCTTGCCCACATATCTGATTTTCCTTGTGAGAAAAGTAATTCGGTACTGACAAATAATTGCGTAACCCATCCCTTCACTTAGATTCAGTGTTTGCATCATTAATTTCTGATTAAAAAATAGAAAATAAAAACAGTTTCTTTACATGGAAATCCAACTTCCCAACATTTCACAGGAAACTCTGAAGATTCCTCATAATCACCATGTTGATGTAGTATAAATAAATAAATAAGATTGAAAACGCATTTCTTAAGACAAACTATGATTGTCAAAAAGCACCTGAGCGTGTTTGTGCCTTCTTCAGGGACTAAAAAAGAATAATCAAACAAAATATTGGGATACATAATGTAGGCTAAACCTTAAAGAGGCATACAAAGTGGTTTTGGTTGGCAATGATACACAAAAACAGGACTTTCACATTTTTAGACACTCCAAATAAACAAGATCTATTTCGAATGTAACGCCTGACACACGCCAAGTATGTAAAATTAAAGAATTAAAAATTGCATTTACATCCCACAATTGTAACATGATACCTTGAACTGGTAACCATATTCAAAAACAAAAACAGACACCACCTCCAGTGTTATGCTTGACAAGCTCTACAAAATACAATAAAAAGTGACCTCTAGCATTTACGGTTGGAAAATAAGAGAGAGTTTTCAGTTTCGGCATCTAATGGCTGCTCCTGTGAAAATTCACCGATTGACCCCAAGCTTAAGAAGATTAAATATGACCTTAAGTGTAACACCTGCCCACAATATTATAGGTAAGGTCTGTGTTGTTTCTGAAAAGCAGCAAAAATGACATTTTTTTTGCAAAGAAATTCCCATGTTTAGAAAATTTTGGCCTGTTTGACCTTGATATAAAGGTCATAGGTCAAATCCAAGGGCATACATGAAACCTCCACATATGACTTGCGGTCAGCCATCAATAGAAATGGCTCCCATAACTTCTTTGGTTTGGGAGATATTTAGCACTTAATTTTGCAAATTTTGGACAAGGGTGCATTGCGATGAGTGCCACACCTAGACCCGTGCAGCGACAAAACCCAAAAAACCTTGCTGAGTGTGAGCTGAATTTGCATTTAATTTGCTGTTATATTTATTACTAGACAATGGTGCAACAAATTGTTATTATTATTATTATTATTATTATTTTTTTTTTTTTTGTTAAATCACTGCTGTGCCGTACTGTGTGCAAACACATGTATTTTTAAAATATTTTTCTTGAGCACTATGGAACTACATTCAAAACCAACTTCTATATGTTACATAGTTTCTAAAATTACACATGAATTCATGTCATATTTACATGTATCTGTTTTAATTAGAAGTCAACTAATTTTTAATTAAATATATGCACGTGGAACCTTTGATACACTCGAGGATATAACTGCATTCAATGTAAAAATATGGAACACAGAAAATTGTAACAACACTATATATATGATACACACAGGTTGCACAGCACCTTTTTGTCAGGAATTTGTGAAATTTAGCAAATTACCTCAACACAACGATTCCTTTCTCACAATATGGACACAAATTAAAAAAACCATAAAACAATGCATGGGAATCCTCCATAATGTCTGCAAGCTTTGCATGGAAATTTATTGTTTAAATTTATCAGATCTAGGTCAAGTGATCACATGAACCTGTTTTGGTTACTTTGATTGGTTTATAGGGTCGAGTGGCAGGACATTTCATTTTGATTATATTTAGACAAAATATACCCTCAATTAACTATACTTTGGCACACTTTTCATGGTAAGAATTTTTTGTGGGTATTCTTTAATTGTTTAACTTCATGCACAGTGAAAAATGTATAGCCTTAAGATTCTTTAAACGAAAAAGCTTTTCTAGACACATTTTCCCCTATCAAGTGGCAGCCTATATGCTTAATACACGTACATTTTAATTTGAAATATAAACGCCAATATTCTATATTTTCAAGGGGAAAAATAAACACAAAGATAGACATATTACTGAATAATTAGATGCAGAAAAAAAACTCAGTTTTGGAATCTGGATGATAATAAAGACTTACAATACCCTTAATGGTAAGTATATGGTATCTTAAGTGTTTGCAGAGGGGAGATTGGGAAGAACATGAATAAAGCTGCGTCTTGTGAACTTAGTCTTGTGGTTGACTTAGTTTCTGCAGGACACATTTAGACTATTTGACCTGGGATCATGAAAGTGAATGATTGATCATGTGTATGAGAGCATTCAGTGATCAATGATTGTTGCAAAAGAGAAAGTTGGTATGTTCAATAATGGTATTAATAATTCATGTGAAATTGAATTGGATTTCAGTCTGACCTACACAGGCTGATTAAAAAATTTGGCCTGGATGAATCAATAACACCTTTACATGCTCATGGTAATAAATTTAATGTTCTCTTTGCAGATTTATATAATGGAAAGTCCCAATTCACAGTATGAAGAAATGACGGAGCCAAGCTTTGCCTATCTATTGAAACATGGTATTTGTCGGTTGAAGGAGAATGACAGTCTCTGTGATGTAACCATAGTTGTTGAAGGGAAAAAATTTCCATGCCACAAAGTTGTTCTTGCTTCGATTTCAAAATATTTTGAAGCAATGTTTACAAGCTCTATGAAAGAGAGTAAATATGCTGAAATAACTATAAAGGATATGGAGCCCCTTGTGTTTGCAACCATATTAGACTTCATCTATACAGGAAAGTGCAAGATTTCTACAGAGAATGCACAAGCCATAATGTATGCAGCAGACATGCTTCAAATTTTTGCTCTGATTAATATATGTGGCGAGTACATAGGAAGAAATTTAACACTAGAAAATTGTTTGGCCATTTGGCAGTTTGCTCATGCCATTCAATGCAAAAAACTCATCCAAAAAAGTAAGCATTTTTGTTTACAAAACTTTATGAAAGTTCCAATTCCTTCAGTGACATCCCTGTCAAAAGATATTCTGATTCAATATATATCAAGTGATGATTTGAATTGCCAGTCTGAAGATAATGTTGCTCAAATTGCTCTTCAATGGATAGAGGCAGAACCAGAGAGAGAGACTGATGCCATTGTAGTTCTCTCTCATGTTCGGTTCTCTTTGCTAAGTTCCCGATATTTGATGACACTTATGGACGATGAAATCATAAGGTGTAAAGAAGACATTATGAAGCTTCTCCACCAAGCTCAACATTTCCAGTCAGACCCTACCATGTACTTTGAGTTACCATATCCCCAAGCATCACCAAGGCATTCCTTGAATAGACGGGAGTGTGTCCTAGTTCTAGCTGAAGGTGATGGCTTTTCTGATGCACCAAATAGACTGGCCCAACCAGACTGGATCTTGACATGTGAAATGCCTTCATATATCAGAAGTGCAGCCGTTTGCAGCAGTCCTGACAACTCCAAGGTTTTTTTTATCTGGAGGACAGGATAACCCAAGGGATCTGCATTACATGCTTGATGATGAAATATCTAGGCTTACAAATGACAAAGAGCTTCAAGAGATGCTGATTGGAAGGAAAAATCATACAATGGTAATACTCGGTGGATGTTTGTATGTAATTGGGGGTCTACAAGAAAAAGAAACTGTCACAAGACTACTGCCAATTCAGCTCGGTAACAATGTAAATGTCATAGAAGCCTCAGTTCATGTCTACAGCATCGGGTTCAACAAATGGAGACCAGCAGGTAATCTGCTCACTGGGGTAATGCAACATGCCTCTGTCTCTTTTCAAGGTAAAATCTACACTTTTGGAGGAACAACTGCAAAATCTGGCTCTCTACAAGGTGCCACAAACAAGGTTCAGATATACTCCCCGCAAACAGAGGCATGTGTGCTGGGCCCAGATATACCTTCAGCCATTTCCAAGTGCAGTGCCACAGTGAAGGAAGAGTCCATCTTTGTTGTTGGCCTGGAGAAAGAGAAAAAGCCCGAGTCCAACTCTAAAGAGCAGGGAGAGTCAGAATCTAGCTCTGTTCTTGAAAACCTTGATTCTGTCTCCAACTCCAATGAAGATGATACGGACTGTGGCTCTGAAGAACAGGATGATGATGAGGAAGTCTATGAAGGAAACCCAGTATTCTATCAGTTCAAGCCCCTAGATGGAATGTGGATCAAACTAAACCCACCCACTAACATTACTAAATCAGCTTTGTGTACATTCCACGGAAAAATCTGGAATATTGTGGTTGGTTCTTCGATTAAAATGTACTTCTACAACCCCCAGAGTGATATGTGGGAGAGCAATTCTGATGACTCAGAAGATCAAAATAAATCAAAAAATCACGATGAATCAGAAGTTGTGAATTATTCAGTTAAGTGCATGCAGATAACTCACAAGGCAGACATGACAGCTGTAAGGCATACCTTTTTTCTGGATTGGTTTTAAATTTGAAAAAATGACAATGATTTCACTTTATAATTCAAACTGACCACTGCCTCTGTTGTACATGCCCCTGGAGAAGTTTATGAATCAACAGTCAAAGCAAAACTTGTCAGCTCCTAACCCAATATCATCATCATCATCATTTAGAGCCTATAGTGTTCCACTGTTGGACAAAGGCCTCAGCATGCTTTTTCCATTGTTTCCTATCCTGAGCCTCAGATTTCCAGTTTGGCCAAGGTTTCTTCTTCCAAGACTTCCAGTAGTCATCTAATTCATCCCTCCATCGTTTGACCGGCCTTCCTCTTTTTCTTTGTCCATACCTTGGGGTTCATTCTGTAAGCCTGATTGTCCACCTATTGTCCTTCATTCTTTTGACATGTCCTGCCCACCTCCATTTCATTTCTTTAACTGTGAGCAGTACGTCCTTAACTTTGGTCTGTTCACGTTACTATACATTCGTTTTCCGATCTCTTGGACTGATGTTCAACATAATCCTTTCCATCTTTCTCTGAGCTACTTGTAGCTTGTGTTCCATGGATGCATTCAGTGCCCAGGTCTCTGAACCATAGGTGATTGCCGGCAGCACACAAGCATTGAACACTATCTTTTTCAGCAGGTAGGAAGGTTGCTCTTGAAGATGTCATTTTGCTTCCCATATGCTGCCCATCTTGCCTTTATCCTTCGTTGGATTTCTTTCTCCAGTGTTTGATCACTAAGGCTGAACTGTTGCCCAAGGTATATATACTCTTCTACTGCTTCTATCTCTTTGGTGTTGACCTTCACTGTGCAAGGGGTGGTTAGTGGTCCAAACATCACCTTTGTCTTGCTGGTGTTCATCTTTAGCCCACTTTTTGCGCTTTCATCTGCTAACGCCTGAAGCATTTCTTCGAGGTCTTTTGCATCATCTGCTACTATTATGATGTCGTCTGCAAACCTAAGGTGATTGAGCCTGGTACCATCTATGTTTATGCCCTTGTCCTGCCAGTCTAGATCCCTGAATATACGTTCCAATGCTGCTGTGAACAGTTTAGGAGAGATTGTATCTCCTTGGCGTACACCTTTCTGGATCCTGATCTTATTGGTGGTCTTCTGTGGTTTGACTGTTACAGAGCTATCAGTGTATATGTCTCTGAGGACATCTACGTATCCATCTTCGATCCCTAGATCTTGCAGGGATGCCAGTATATACTGGGTTTCTACTTAGTCGAAGGCTTTTTCATAATCAACGAATGCTACACATAGTGGAATGTTATACTCGAGATATTTCTCTTTGAGCTGGTTGACAGTGTGCATATGATCAGTAGTGGTGTATTGGCCTCTGAAACCTGCTTGTTCCTTTGGCTGCACTTCATCTAGTTGTCTTGTTAGCCTTTCGGTCAATATTTTGGTGTAAATCTTGTACAAATTAGAAAGTAGCCAGATGGGTCTGTAATTCTTGATGTCTTTCCTAATGCCCTTTTTGAACGTTATGATCATGTTGGCATTCTTCCATGCTACAGGAATTTCCTTCAGATGTAAGCACTTTGTGAAGAGCCTGGCTAATTCCTGAGATAGGATATCTCCTCCTGCTTTTATCATTTCTGCTTTGATGTTTTAATTTCCTGCTGCCTTCCCGTTCTTCATTTTCTGGACTGCTGACTCTACTTCCCAAGCTGTTATGTCTGGTAGATTGCATGCTTTTGTTGAGATTTCTATTCCCTTGTTGCTGTCATACAACTCTCCATAGAATTCTTCTACTCGTTCTAATATCTGGTCTTGTGTGGTGAGCTCATTTTCATCTTTGTCTAGAAGAGTCAGCATTCTATCCTGCCCTAGTTGAAAGGATATCTTTGCTCTTTTCATGCTCTTTCCATTTTTGATGGTCTCTGCTATCTTCTTCATGTTCTGCTTCCTGATGTCTTCCCTTGCCTTCTTCTTGATGGTCTTATCCAGTTCTGCATATCCAATGTTGTTTCTGATGTCCCTGTTGTTGTTTACCTCCATTTTCTTCATCATCCATCTTTTCTTCATGAGAATCCTCATTTCTGTTGAGAGCTTTGAGTCCTTCATTTTACTGGCCGGTGGGACTTCTGATGCACATTCTGGGATGGTGGTTGTTATTCTATCGTTCATTTCATCTACTCCATCTTCACCTTCTAGCTCTAGTGCACTGAATCTGTTCGTTAGGAGGATTTGGAACTCGTCTTTCTTTATGACCAGTTGCTCGATACTAGGTCTCTTTGATGGATTTGACAGGCATTTCTGTCTGTCCTTCCTGACATTGATCCTAATCACTCCCATAACTGCTCTGTGGTCACTGCCCGCATCCAGTCTGTTTAGCACTTTCACATCCGTGAAGATGTTCGGTCTGTTTGTCATGATGTAATCAATTTCGTTTCTTGTACATCCATCTGGGCTTTGCCATGTCCATCTTCTTGATATCTTCTTCTTGTAGATGGTATTCATGATCTTCAAGTTATTTGCTGTCGCCCATTCAATAAGTAAGTCTCCTCTTTCATTCCTCTCTCTGCTGCCAAATTTCCCTGTGGTACGCTCTTGTTCGTCTGACTTTATCCCGATCTTGGCGTTGAAATCACCCATGACTATGTGGTAGTGGCAGTCTGTTGTCAACTGACATTGTACTTCTTCATACAGTTGTTCTACTTCTTCATCTGGTCTGTTTGATGTTGGTGCATATACCTGAATGAGTTTCATTTAGAATCTCTGATTCACTTTGAGCTTGACTGTAGCCACCCTTGCCCTAATTTGCTTTACCTCAATGATGTTCTTGCTTAGCGCCTTGTGTATCAGAAATCCAACTCCTTCTTGGCCATTTGAAGCATTTGAAGCATGGTACAATATATGTCCGCTATTCAAGGTAATTAAGCGTTCTTCCGCTCGCCTAACTTCTGACAAGCCTATCACATGCCAATATCAAGTACATGTAATAGTGAAGTGGGGCCAGCAATATTTATAAAATCTGTGCATACACTAGCAAAACTCCAGGTGACCAATGTACAGCTATGGAGACCAAGAGAGACATCTTAATTAAGAGTTAATCCAGATCACTTGGACATCACCTCCACACCTGAGGCTTCCTTTGACTGAAGATTAGAGTAGGTCACAAAAGGTGGTTCCTCAAGTGGTAGGAAGCCCAGTGTTATAGCAAAAATATGGGTGGTTTACATCTCGAAGACATAGATGTATCAGACAATAGTACAATGTATTATATAACATTATAAAACAAACTGCTGGTAACAAATATTCTGTTTTAAAAAGGTGTCATTTTATATCCATATATGTTATGTGGTATAAATGACCTCGAGGTGCAGGAGAGAAATTCTGATAAATCAGAAGATTATTATGAATCAGAATGGGATTCAGTTAAGTGCATGCAGATAACTTATTAGAAAGATATGCATGCAAGGACATAAAGATATGACACAGATTATAGATACTTGGTTTTTATATTGAAAATAGTGAGAACTATATTTATCATATTGTTCAGGGGCGGACCCAGAGTTATTTTCTAACAGTCTTCCAAATTATCTTTGTTGATTCACCCTCTAATTTTGACCGTCTTCCAACATGAAAAATTGGATACCCGTCAATGTAAACTTGAAAATCTGACCGTCTTCCGGAAGACCCAGAAGACGGCCTAAATCCGCCCCTGTTGTTTTTGTGTCTTTTTTCTTTCTGTATGTTTTGCATGGTGTAGCACATAACACAATGGCTTTTATTTTATGAGCTTAATAAGAAATAATTTTTTGAAAAAAACATCAACAAAAAAGATATTGCAGTTCAGAAACGCTTTGATTACAGTAAGGGGTTCTGAGATATTTCGAATAAAAATTACTAAATGGGATAGTCCTTTTGAGCTTAGACTGAAATATATCCAATGGATTCACTGAATTTGAAAAAAAAGTTTTATATATATTGCTGTATTATCACATTATATATTACATAATTTTAAAGCACACACAAGTTCTGATGAAGTTTTTTCATTGAACTTGGGTTTTATCTACTTTCACTGAAATGAAGAAGAAATGGGATTCTAATGACCTGTTAAGGTTTTTGTAGTATTGTAATCATATACTTGGCTTTATTTACTTCAACTGACGTGAAGAAAAATGAATCTAATGATCTGTTTAGTTTTTCATCAGCTGATTATGTCAACAAATTTAATTTGTCTAAAAATGGCTATTTTTATAATCAAAACAGCTGATTATCTACTAGTAATATCTAATGTTACTAATATCTGACATGACGCCTCAAAAGATTAACTTGCAATTTAGCAAAACTAAAATAATACTGGTTACCAAGGCAGATTTTGTGAAAAACGATTATGTGAGCATTCAGTCATGTAAAGTATATGCACAGCTTGTTTTAAAATAAATGTTCAAACTAATTTACCTGTCTGAAAATTGCTCAGGACTTAAGGAATTTCTCTCCTGATGTTTGATATGGCAAAAACCTCACTGATGTTCTGAAATATCTCTCTCATTACCTTGTCTGGAGTTCAACTCTGTGTGCAGTGTTTTGTATCCATATTGGACATTGTTTGTACAGAATTCTCCTCGACGCCTGAAATCCGAACACCAATATTGGTTACAAATATCCTGTCTTTTTCTATCAATATGTAAATTGGTATGCCTATGAATCAAGGGAGGATTTCTTACAGACAGACTTATCTGATAATTGATCAGTACTATACAACTTATTTCAGTATTTTTTTTCATTGTGGCAAGTGGCATCCAGTTGTGGATGAGTATGCCTTTGTAATGACCACTGTTTCATTTTTTACATCAGAATACAATGAACTAGAAAAATCTCTCACTTCAACTTGATTGTATGTTGAAAAGATCCAAACAATGTGTACTTGTAGACCTTTGCTAAATAAACCTTTAACTGTCTCAATAGTTTAGTAGTATTTTCAAATTTTCATACCTTTCCTGAATATATATCTGACACCCGTACCTTTTCAGAGGCAGGCATTGTTTAGGCATGGAGCGCAGTTCTGCAAATGCTTGAAACCTCCCCAAAACCTTCAGTCCTTTTTCACTAAATGTCCTCTTGTCTTTAACAGAGTTCACTCTTTATATACATTTTATGACCAACACCAGAAAGTAATAGATTTGTCTTTATTATAACATATCTGTAGGTAAATAATTCTGGTGTATCAAATAAGAAATTACTGATACAGACAAATTGCCATTCCATTTCTATAAAGTTTTAATAAAATAATAAAAACTAATTTGTTTGTGAAATGCATACAAATGTTTCTTTAATTGGACACTCACTGATACCATTGATAGCAATAATGAAATCACAGCTTACTAAGACCATGCTGTATCTCAGTACAGTAAAATCATTTCAAGTATGCACACATATACTGGGCATAATACTGTCCTTGACCGGAGAGAAGTCATCAATATAGGTCTCAAACTCAAGGTGACATAGTTTGAACAGTTTCCATATCAAGTCTTCATTCATTACATAACAATGATTTAGTGTGATAAAGTATCACAGACTGTTTCTTTTTATTACTAGCTGTCAGTTAATAAATATCATCATCAGTCATTTTATTTGCTGTTTAAAATCAGGAGATTTTATCTCAGGAATTTCTCCTCCACTCCTCGTAGTAAGAGTTTTTCACTGTCAAGTAGTGGTCCTTTTTTCTCCTAAAATAGCATATACATAAATTAGAATGTGTTTAGAGGCTCAATATAATTACATTGCATTCAGTACTTCATATCAATACAAAATGTTTCTCCCAATTGACTTGACAGACAACTAAATACTGGAGAACTCTAATTTTAATTTTTTCTTGAAGAGTTAAAACTATTTCCATTCAAAAATATGTAAGTGTTATTTTTGTTAATATCATTTAGACAGATGATAAAAGTGCAGAAAAATCATATGGATTATCAGAAAAGCAAAATTCAGAGTTATTTACCTTCCACATAGACGTTTTCTCATACTTGAATTCACCACAACCACTAGAATAAATATTGTGGCATTTTGTAATTCTTTCTTTTTAAAATTATTTTATTTTTATCATTTTCACAGGATTACAAGGAGTATACCCCCTTCCCCATCAGAGTACAAATTATCTTTATTACTGCACTATTTCCTCAATTATTCTGTTCATTAGTCAGAAATCATAAGCAAATATTAAATTTTAAAAATTGGACTAGGTTATATGGAATTCATGAAAATGAGTGTTGGCTTGTCCAAAAACCATCTACATCAAGTCCAGTGTAACTAGAGTTTTCTATCCATTCTTTAGTATAGCTATTTCATCTCTTATGACCGGTAAATTCCATTTTTACCTGCAGTTTTTGGTAGGAAGCATTCCAAATGCTATGGTTCTTTTACCACAAGGTACACATTTGAAGAATTTTTTCATGGCTTCTTTTCGGACTAATGTGTGCCCTTCTTCCTTGCATCTGTCGGCCGCACTCTGTGCCATGTACTTACACTGCCAATACAAAAATTTATTTTAAAAAAAGATTCATTCTAAATCTAAGGTACGTGGTTTTAAAAAACTGTAGTTATGATATACAATCATATGTATATCTATGTGACAACCTGCATAGTAATTACAAGTTACTGTTATGACTGTTTCATTAAGTGCTACAAAAAAAAATATATGAAAAAAAAATTACAATAAACATATTGGCATAAATCTTTATAAACTGTCCTAAATTAGGGCCTTGTTATCTTATAGCATTTTCAAGGTAAAATTTAAGGTAAAAAATGCACACACAAACTCTATTTCACAGTCCAGCTGCTCACCTGTTTACACACTACCACTGAACACTTCACCTCCAATGTGTTGCTCATTTTATCTTCATACTTCTCACGTTTTTCAAGCTCACCAAAATATTTTTCCTGTTGCTCCATCTCAATCTAAAATTATCAGACAAGCAGGAAATTGCAAGTTTTGGTAAAAATACCTAATTTCATAAAATAAAAGTATAATACACTGCACCATAACTGGAGAAAAACAAAAACACTATCCTATTTCAAAAATAAATAAATAATAAAACATGCTGAATAAAATTGCAAGACAAGAAAAATATCAAACAAAAACATGTGAAAGTACATTTTATGTTACCTCAGACACAGCGCCAGAGTGTGAAGATTTCGCATTCAATAATCGTTTAAATTCCTCAGAATTAGGATCAAGGTCACCTAATAACCTTGACCTTTTTTTAGGTGGTTCTGTAGAATTCCCGTTTTGTCCAGAACCAGTTTCTGTAATGGAAAAGAGACAGAGTACAAATTTACATATCACTGCAATAGTTTTGGTGAATATCTGTATCTTTGGAATGAGACAACAAAGGTGTCAGGAACATTTGCATAGAAAACAAGAAAAATATTTTGATCACTTCAGTTTCCATTGTTAAAGGCTTTAACTGAGAGAAGAGAATTACTTACTCTTAATATCAAAATACTCTTGTTTTTACTTCAGTACACTGCAAACCATGGTGTCGTTGTATGGTCATATCTTGTAATAAATACTTTTGAACAAATTATCTTATATCATATTCAGTTTGAAATGAATAAGAAAATTAATATACCTTTAGTTGCTTCTTCTTTGGCAAACCTTTTTCTTTTAGCTTCCAAAGTTTCCGGAGATTTTTTCTTCTTAATGGCATTAGGATCTTGTCTCTCCAGTCCACCCTTTGCCTGCACCTTGGCTACAGCTTTTTTCTATAGTTGAAAAATTACTGAATAATTCACAGCTCTAGGTACGCTTTTGGTAATTTCCTGCTTGCAAATATGTAAAAATCACTCAGAGAGAGCAGACCTTTACCAAGACAATTCAATTCTTATTCTAGTCAAATAATTAACTAGTAAGAACTAACCATTAATCAATTAATGGATCATCAACAAAAAATCACTTTTAAGTTAGTCCACTTGTAAACCATCTTAAAAATATCATAAGCTTGTCACAAATGAACAAACAAACAGATGCAAAAATATAACATATTGGTGGAGGTAAAAATCACATACATTAAAGGTACATACGAACCGAGCATCGGTGAAGCGTGGATTCCCAGTAACACATGTAAACCACTTCTACTAGATTCTTATATGACTCAAATAAATTCGACATGTCAAGGGATAAACTGAATAGATCACTCGATCACCCATAAAAGACCTTTTGACTGCTCCTTTCCTTAAATTTATGGTTGTAAATTTAACCTACTTTTGTGACCTACTTTTCTGCCCCATTGACCAATACAGCTTAGAATGCCAGCAGAAAAATCCGTTCAAACATCATTTTCGGGTAAAATTAAACAATGCCTTTTGGTAATTCTCTTAGTTATACTACTTGAAACCATATGCTGGCATTTGGTTGGTTTTTGTGACAAAAAATTGACTTTGTATGCATCTTTAATTCATACTCGATTCTTTATAATTAAAATTTGAGCTGAAAATTTGCATATCTATGCCAACTAAGAGTGATAAGTTTTGTATTGTAATTTTTATGATAATACGTCTTCAATATGCCAAATAATCATCACATAAGACATTTACCTTTGCAGCTGCCACACTATCATTTCTCCTTGCAGAAAGGGGTCTCTGCAAGGGGGAATCCTCGAGAAAAATTTCCCCCTTGTCGCCCCCCAATCCTTTCCCTAGTTGAGGAACGCAGTCAAGGGGGTTCACATGCTGTTGAGGTACACCAGTGGTACCAGAGAGGGTTTTCTGTCTCTTCATCCTTTCTGCGTGCTCTCTCTGGGTTTGTTGTAACAGTTGCTTTGGAGTGATGGAAATGATGGGTTTGTTTTGTTTTTCAGCTGGAGAAAAGGAGAAAAGAATGACCTCTGTTTTACCTCAATGGCAAATCTTGTTACTAAAATGGTTGTTAATTTCAGCTAAACAAGAAATCCTTTGTAATTTTTAAAATCATGATGTGCTGTTCAGGAATAAAAGTCATTCATTAAAATTCAATAATATAGCTACCCAGCTGGTTCAGAGGGGTTCATCAATTTTCAGGAACAGGAAGCTTGTTGATCAGCTAAAATAGAAATTATGAAGGCACAAACCTTTGGCCCTTGCTTCAATTCCATCCTTTTTCTCCAAATGTTTCACAAAATTCAAAGCACCAGCAGAAGGCGTGGAAATCAGATCATGACTAAATATAAATAAATAATGATAATGATAAATTTTAAAAATTAAAAATCTAAACAATCAAACTATCAATCAATAAGTGAATCAACTGTTTAAGAAAATATAAAATCCAGTTATAATTCAATGAAAAAATATAATTTTACATTGATACCAGGGGCGGATTTAGGCCGTCTTCTGGGTCTTCCGGAAGACGGTCAGATTTTCAAGTTTACATTGACGGGTATCTGATTTTTTCTGTTGGAAGACGGTCAAAAATGGAGGATGGATAAACAAAGATAATTTGGAAGACTGTCAGAAAATATCTCTGAATCCGTCCCTGGATACGATTTCAATCAATCAAACAAAATCTTGCTGACATATAAGTATCACCAAAAAACATCAGTGCTGTGGATTATGAACTTACAGCGCCTTTTGCTTATCTGACAGAGCTTTCAATTTGGCCTCATCTTGTGGCTGAATGGGGTGAAGAAAGCTCATTGTTGTTGCCTTTCCTTCCTTCATATTGTGTTGTTTGAGAGTCTGGATGGACACTTTGTCTTTCTTCTTCTGGGTCTTTACACTGAGAAGAGAAAATACATTGAAAGTGAAAGAGATGAATAAAAAAAAAAGAGTTTAAAAACAAAGAAATTATATTTGGCAAGTTATATGGTGAATGACAAAGGGTTAAACCATTTTTACCTTTTTATGCATATTACCGATTAATAGAAAGTTTACTTGTAATAGGATGAATTATACATCCAAATACCACAAAATCCCAAATACATTTGAAACACGAGTTCCACCAGTTGGAGCATTACACACCAGAAGGATAAGCTCCTAGTGCAGGTAGCCATGATAAAAAGTGTACAGTTGCACACAAAGGCTGATAATTTAATACATACATGTAAGCCCATATGTGAAACAAGGCAGCAAAGCTGTCAAATGTACAGACAAAAAACAGGAAAAAAAGATGCAAAATAGGTCAATTTGTCAATTTTGATGCAATAATAAATAATGCTTATAATAGCACAGTCTGTCAACAGTGATTTTTAATCATGCACAACAGGTAACATGGTCAATAACAGGAGCAGATCCAGAGATATTTTCTGACAGTATTCCAAAGTATCTATGTTGATCCATCCTCCATTTTGATGGTCTTCCAACAGAAAAAAAAAAATAGATACCAGTCAATATAAACTTAATAACCTGACTGTCTTCCGGAAGACCCAGAAGATGGTCTCAATCCACCCCTTCAATAAGATTACAGTTTCAGGACCATGAGAGACCAAAGTCACATGATGAAAGTCTCAATATTTGAAAAATGATGACAGTGCATAAAATAATATAACATAATGTTTAAAGACATAAAAAACAATACAACTGCTTATGTGGAAATACAGAAAATGAGCAGAGCCTCAGGTGTATGGAAGTTATAAGTCACAAATGCCAGTGTTTGAGAAAAAAATTAACAAGGCAGCAATTGTTGATTATTATTGATTATTGTCCTCTTTGGCCCACTTCTGACAGTTCCTGAAA